TCCAGAAGCGTATTGTATTGGATTGTATTCCTCCGCTTCCTCCTCTTCCAATGTATACAGCTCCCCTCTTCTGACTGACTGCGCATAGCACGTCGGGGTTATTTTGAGCGTTCCAGATCGGCTATTACACCCATCGGCGGAAACAGAAACATCAGCGCAATGGGAAGGGATGGGTGGGAGGGATAGGATGTCAGATATGGCGCGAGCGCACCTAGCTTGCCCCCCTCCCATCTCTTCCTCCTCCCTCTCGCTTCGCTTGCGTCCTGAAGGGGTGCGCGGACCCGAGCGCGCGAGCCGCACCAGGATGCCAGCGGCGCTCGAGCCCTAGAGGCTCCAGGCAACAGCCCATGCTACCACTGCGCATTGCCCGTCGCTTTCGCAACTGCTGATCCCCGCTCTGTAGGTGAACCCTCGCCTCGCACATCGCCCTTACAGGATCCAGTTCGATCCAATCGATCCGATTCGACATCGGTTCTAGCGGGCCCGATCCGATTCGATCCCGCAATTCCGAAGATCCGATGTGGCCTGATGTTTGCATGGCGCCGTGGTGCATCCTCGCGCAGCCGATCGGAGTCGAGTTCGATGTTCCGTGCCGATGCAGCCCGATCCGATGCCCATTTCGGGGCGATCCAATTTACCGATCCGATACTGGCTGATCCTGCATCAGCAGCGCAAAAGACCCATGATGATGCTGATGCTGATGGTGTTGATGATGGTGATGATGATGATGATGATGATGATGATGATGATGATGATGATGATGACGATGACGATGACGATGACGATGACGATGACGATGGCGATGACAATGACGATGCTGATGCTGATGATGGTGATGTTGCTTCTGATGATGATGATGATGATGACGATGCTGATGATGATGATGATGATGATGATGATGGTGATGATGATGATGGTGATTATGATTATGATGGTGGTGGTGATGATGATGATGATGGTGATGATGAAGATGGTGGTGGTGATGATGATGATGATGATGATGATGATGATGATGATGATGATGATGATGATGATGATGGTGATGATGGTGATGATGATTATTTCTATTATTATGGTCGGGTATGGGCGGGGTGGTCTGGGAGCGGTGCTCGGCTCAGCCACCTTGCATTCGGCATGCATGGTCGCAAGGGCCCGCGGGGCCCAAGCCAGACCCAGGCGACGAGGGACGGACCCGAGACGCCAGACTGGGGCAGCCCCCCCGCTATGACCCCTGGCGTCTGAGGCCACCAGGAGCATCGCGGTCAGGCCGCCCCCTTCCGCCCGAGCCCTCGCGGGCTCGGCGGATGCGAGTGCCCTCGGACCCCGACGGAGGACCGCCGACGGCCGCCACGGGGCCGACGGCCGAGCTTTCCGAGCCGCGCCCAGCGGGCCTTATCTTCGCAGGCGCAGTTATCAGCGTGCGGCACACTGCGCACGGCGCCGCTCGACCGCCACTCCTCTTGAGGCGGTGGCCGAGCGGGCACCGCGCGGTCCAGGGAGACTACTCGGCCTCCGCTGGAACTGCTGGAGTCGCACCGACGCTCGCGAGCTCAGCCGAGGGATCGGGCTCCGCGACCTTCCCATTGGGCGGCTCGGCGGTCGCCCGCTCCAGGGCCTGGGGTTCCCCCTCCGAGGCCGACGCAGTCCCGCTCCGTGACGGGCTGCACCACGACGGCGATCTCCGTCTCTTGGGCGGGCAGCTTCGCGTTGGGCCCCAGCTCCAAGGTGAGCTCCACGGTGGGCTGCGGCGCCGGGCGGCCTCGGGGTCCGCGCCGAGCTCCACGCCGAGCTCCCGCTCCAAGGCGACGAGCTGCGCCGCGTGCAGCGCCTGCGCAGGCTGCCGCCGATCCTGGCGCCGATGGCCACGACGGCCTCGGGCAGGGCGGAGAGGAGCCCCACGCCGCTCCAGGCCGCGCGCGCCAGCGCCTCCACGGCCTCCGCCAGTCGCAGGAGCAGGCCCAGCAGCGCCGCGAGCGCGACCCCCGCGCGCTGCCTTGCGCCAGGGTGGAGCTGCTTGCGGACCTCGGTCCTCGCGGGGGGCTCCTGTGGCACTTCCACGGGCTGCTCCGCCTGCAGCGCTATCGGCACCTCCACGATCCTCTCCTGGGCCCGCGGCTTGAAAACTGCCTCCACGATGTGCACCATGGTAGCCTCGACGGCCTCCTCGTACATGACCTGCGGCACCTCCACGATCCGCACGGGGGGCACCTCCCTGTCGATGTACGGGAACTCGGGGCGGGCCGCTTGGGACTCCGCCAGGAGGGCCTGCGGCACCTCCACGGGCTGCTCCGCCTGCAGCGCTGTCAGCATCTCCACGGTCGTCTCCTGGGCCCGCAGCTCGATGACGCTCCCCACGTTGCGCACCATGGGAGCCTCGACGGGTTGCTCGGCGAAATCCCCGTGCATGACCTGCAGCACCGCGACCTGCTCGCGGGCCTCGGTCGCCAGCTGCGGGGGCTGCTCGTCTTCGACCGCCTCGAAAGACTCCTCGAACCCGTACACGGAGTTCGAGCTGCGAGGCGCTTGGCGAGGCGCTCCGCCCGCAGCGCAGGTTGCGGCCGCGATGGCTGCGGCCACGGCCCGCGCCCCCAGGGCGGCAGCAGTGCCCTGCGCCGCCAGCGTCAGCTCCAGCTCGTCCGCCAGGGCCTCTGAGCGCCGCCGCCAGAAGTGCACCTCGCGCGCAGTCTCGCGCAGCAGCGCCTTGGCCGACCAGCGGGCGTGGAGCCGTCCCGCCTGACGCCGCCGTCGGCGGGCGGCGCTGGGGCCAAGCACTCGTGCTTCGGCAGCCACGCCGCGGCGGGCCGCCTCCCGCGGGCGCGCCCCATCAGCCAGGGCGCGCATAGTCTCAGCGCGAGAAGGTCCCAAAACTCTCGAGCCAAAACTATGATGATGATGATGATGGTGATGATGATGATGATGATGATGATGATGATGATGATGATGATGATGATGATGATGATGATGATGATGATGATGATGATGATGATGATGCTGATGATGATGATGATGATGATGATGCTGATGATGATGATGATGATGATGATGATGATGATGATGATGATGTGGTGGTGGTGGTGGTGTGGTGATGATGATGGTGATGGTGATGGTGATGGTGATGGTGATGGTGATGGTGATGGTGATGGTGATGGTGATGGTGATGGGTGATGATGATGATGATGATGATGATGGGTGATGATGTGATGATGATGATGATGATGATGATGATGATGATGATGATGATGATGATGATGATGATGATGATGATGATGATGATGATGATGATGATGATGATGATGATGATGATGATGATGATGATGATGGTGATGATGATGATGATGATGATGATGGTGATGATGGTGGTGATGATGGTGATGGTGATGGGGATGGGGATGGTGATCATCATCAGCATCATCATCACCTCCCGCCCGCAGCAGCTTTGACACGCTGCAGCCCGGCCCGGTTGCCAGCCCCGCGGGCCGTCGTGTTTAGTGTGAGCCCCGTCGCCGCGCGATACGTCGGCGGCGCGCCAGGGGGATTATGGGGAGGACAAGGACGATGAGGAGGAGGAGGAAGAGGAGGAGGAGGAGGAGGAGGCGGAGGAGGAGGAGGAGGAGGAGGAGCAGGAGCAGGAGGAGGGGGCGAGGAGGGGGAGGGGGAGGGGGCGAGGAGGGGGAGGGGGAGGAGGAGGAGGAGGAGGAGGAGGAGGAGGAGGAGGAGGAGGAGGAGGAGGAGGAGGAGGAGGAGGACGAGGAGGCGGAGGAGGAGGAGGAGGCGGAGGAGGAGGAAGAGGAGGAGGAGGCCGACCAGTGGAAACCCAAGATGCATCAACGATGCTGACATAGACCCTCCCTCCAAGATCCCTCTTCACTGGGCCCTACAAGGGGTCATGACCACTGAGGGAGTTGCCCCGTTGGAAGACAACCGTGTGAATATCTTGAAGCGTGCCAAAACACCATTATCAGGACGTCAACGCCACGAGTTAACCTGACTGTAACGTCTTGGCGGCCCTGAGTCGTGCCATAACGCCATTCCTGGGACTTCAACACCGCGAGTCAACATAATTGTTGCGCCCTGACAACCCTGAATCGTTCCAAAACACCAATTCTGGTGCCTTAACCATGAGAACCGGTGACAACCTTGCAAGTGTTTAAAGCGAATGTGCGCGGCGCTAAGGCGAGAGCCACATTGTGAGAACGAACCGCCCTCAATCCGTGAAGCCCTGGCAACAGTTTGAAAACAATGTGCGCGGCGCTCAGGCGAGAGCCACATTTTGGAAACGGCCCACCCTCAATCCGTGAAGCCCTTGCAATGTGTTGAAACGAGTGTGCGCGGCGCGAAATCGAGAGCCAGGTTTTGAAAACGAACCGCCCTGAATCCGTGAAGCTCTTGAATTTTTGTTACATGAATGTGCGCGGCGCTCAGGCGATAGCAACATTTTGAAAACCACCCGCCCTCAGTTGAAATTGTTACAAAAATTTACGCATCAGGGTCATACATGATGAGGAAATCTCCGGCGAAATGCCCGGCCCGCCCGTTCAACCGGCCTCGGGGTGCAGCAGCCATGAGTTATCTATAAGGAAAAGGAATGGATGAGGAGGAGAAGGACGAGGAGAAGAAGAAGAAAGAGGAGGAGGAGGAGGAGGAGGATGAGGAGGAGGAGGAGGAGGAGGAGGAGGAGGGGGAGTAGGAGCAGGAGGAGGTGGGGGAGTAGGAGAAGGGGGAGGAGGAGGAGGAAACGGAGGAGGAGGAAGAGGGAGGAGGGAGGAGGGAGGAGGGAGGAGGAGGAAACGGAGGAGGAGGAGGAGGAGGAGGAGGAGGAGGAGGAGGAGAAGAAGAAGGAGGGGGGATGGCGCCATTCTGGAAGGGCAGGCGCTAGTGGCTTTCCCGAGGGGATCCGAGGCGTCCGGGGGTGGTGGGGTGGCTTCTTCGAAGGCAGGCCTGCTCGGAGCCGCCCCCCGCGCCCCGCCCCCCCCCCCCCTTGGCGCGCCGCCGAGACGCCGATGGACGCGGGCTGGGCGCCAGCTGCCGCTGAGGTATCCCCGCAGCACCGTCCGGACAAGTTGGAGTGGGGTGCCAATGTGGTCACGGTCATGATGCGGCAGATCCCGCGCCACATCACCCAGCAGCACCTCCTGCAGGAGGTGATCGCGCATGGCTTCGAGGGCCTCTTCGACTTCCTGTATCCACCCACGCCGCCGCGCGCACCCGCCGCCTTCTGCGCAGGGAGGCTGTGCGCAGCAACGATGTTGCAAAGAGCACGGCTCTGGCCTGGCATGGTTGTCGCGCTGCCTCTCGGAGCCCTCCTGTCGGGGGTTCTGGCCCTGGGGAGCCTCCAGGCCATCTGGGGGAGTCTTGGGGCCAGCCTTGGGCCAGCCCCCGGGCAATCTTGGAGCCACGCTGGAGCCATGTTGGGCGGGGGCGCCAGCCTTGGGCCTGGCCCCCAGGCCATCTTGGAGCCATGTTGGGCGGGAACTTCGGGCTCCGTCTTGGGGGCCCTTTCTCGGGGACGCGGGACGCTGTCTAGGGCGGCCCGGATTTTTGCATGGGAGCCTGCCAGAGCAAATGTTTCTGGCCTCCAGTGTGGCAACACGAAATCGTGATGTCCAGGGTCGCTGGGCCATCAGAGGAGGCACGTCTTGGGCGGGTGGGGTACCGTCAGAGGAGGCAGCACCATCGAGGCGTCTTGAGGCCGTCCAGGGAGCCTCGGGGAGGGCCGCCGTGGCCAGGCGCTGGGTCTCCTCCGGGCCGTTTGGGCCGAGTTCGTGGGAGGGCAGCCGCGAGCAGCTTGAAGAACGGGGACGCCGCCCCGCTGGGATGGGCATTCCGCATGCGCCCCCCCGCTGGGGGCGGGTTGCAGCTGTTGCTTCTTCGATGGGGAGGGAGGGGGATGGGATAGAAATAGGGAAGCAAACTCTACACACCGACGCTTTTTCACGCCAGGCACTGACACTTGCACAGGAGAGCGGATCTTGGTGTATACGGGACCCTGGCGTATACATGTTTCGCTGCTTCCACGGAAGAGCGGGGAAATAGGTATACACCACACCACCCCGACGTCGTCCCTGACCCTCAAAAAAAGTCCGACTTGCCTCGCTCTGGGCGTGCCCTGTTCTGGGACGCACACGATTCCGCAGGCTTCGATTCTGAATCCGGGGGCGCGCGCGCGGCTCCTCGATCGCGGCGACCAGGAGCCAGGCCGTCGCTTCGCCGGGGGCAGGGCAAAGACGAGAGGCACAGGGCCCAGACGCACACTGGCCTTGCTACTGCGTGGTGGCGGACCTCCCGTGGGACCTCAAGAAGGGTACCAACGTGGGGTACGGTTTCATCTCATTCTCCGACCCCAGAACGGCCGCGAGCTTCCGGGACGCGTTCGACGGGACCTATTTGGGCACGCCGGAGGCGAGGACCCTCACCGGCTTCTCTGAGAAGCCGGTGAAAGTCCATCCCGCGTCGACGCAGGGCTACCAGGCTTCCTCCTCTGCTTCCCCCTCCTCCTCTTCCTCCTCCTCCTCTTCCTCTTCCTCGGCCTCCTCCTCCTCCTCCTCCTCCTCCTCCTCCTCCGCCTCCTCCTCCTCCTCGGCCTCCTCCTCCTCCATCCGTCCACCCTCCTCCCACGGGGCTACCAGGCCAACTACCAGCACTTCGTGAACACCAAGACGGGACAGAAGCAGGACCCTCTGTACAGCCCCCTCTTCTTCCCGGGCAACGGCCCGAACACTCTCTCGAGGCTCCTCCTCATCCCTCGCCAATCTTTTTTCCTCTGTATGAATAACCCCTCCCCGTCGCACCACCAGACGTGCCCGTAGGCTTGGCCGCGCGTTTCGTTGAAAGCTTCCGACAGCTAAACGGATCGAGGTTGGGCCATCTTCAAAAAGTCGATCTCGTCTTAGCGCCGCGCGCATTCGTTTCAAAAGCGTCCGGCAGTTGCACGTATGGAGGGTCGCTGGTTTTCAAATTGTGGTTGTCGCCTTGGCGCCGCGCAGATTTGCCTCGGAAGACTCCAACCGTTTCACTGATGGAGAGCTGGTGGTTTCCAACATGTGGCTCTCGCCCTAGTGCTGCGCACACTCGTTCCAGAGGCTACCAAGAGACCTACAAACGGAGGCCAGTGCGGTTTCAAGATGGGGATCCCGCTCGAGACTTGATCCAAGAGCGCACCACAAGTGTAAGGTTGTGCAGCAGCTACACGGATGGAGGGCGGCTTCTTCTCACAATGCGTTTATCGCTCGAGATGACGTGAGATGCGAGGACCGGCAAGACACAATGCAACAGCTGCACGGATGCAGCGTGGTTCTTTTTCAAAGCGGGCTTGACGCTGGGCACGCTGTTTGTTTTCTCACCCCAACCTTGGCCCATTCCTGGTAGCATGGAGGGCCGCTTCCTTCAAAGCGCAGCTCCCACCTGAATAGCGGACCCACGGGGCGCTCGTCTTTCAGGGGGGGGGCGCTTCCCTCAGTGAAACGGATGCGTGTAGTTAGGAATTACCAAGGAGGGGGCATGGGACGGCGCGGATACATCCAGCGTTTTTACTCTGGTCCACCTCCTCCTCCTCCTCCTCTTCCTCCTCCTCCTCCTCCTCCTCCTCCTCCTCCTCCTCCTCCTCCTCCTCTTCCCTTCTCCTCCTCCTCCTCCTGGAGGAGGGTGGACGGATGGAGGAGGAGGAGGAGGAGGAGGAGGAGGTAGAGGAAGAGGAGGAGGAAGAGGAGAAGGAGGAGGAGGAGGTGGAGGAGGAGGAGGAGGAGGAGGAGGAGGGGAGCGAGGGGAGGAGGGGGCCGCTTCTGCCGAGGCTCCTGCACACCGTGTGCGCTGGCGACGGCGCTCCGCCCAAGCAGGCGGGCCCTCACGGCGGCACCCGCCCGAGCTTCCAGGCCGCCCTGGCCGAGGCCGACTTAGAGGAAAAGGAGAGGGAAGAGGAGGAGGAGGAGGAGGAGGAG